AAAGTTAGAGGGTGGAGTTCACCCAGAAGAGCATCTGAAGAAAGGCCTGGTGATGCTTTCCAAGAAATCTGCCACTGAAAACCACGCGGAGCACGGTTGGGCCTCTAATACACATCAGGTGGCTATGTACTGGAATCCATGGGATTCTGCAGTCTCTACAGGAGCAGCCTGCCAGGTCGGTCCCCCACAGGTGTAAACAAAGGGAACCACATTCCATAGTAATGGGCTGTTCTTGTAGATAATTTAGTGGTGAAAATTATGCAGTTAATTAAATGGATCTCCAATGAGGTCTGGCAGGTTTTGTGTGTGAGTTTTCAACACACACTCTTTTGTGTTTAGGCTGTGGGCATTGTTGTAACATATTTGATCTCCTCAGTGTCCTGCCACACTCCTTGACCAACTGCTATCCTTATTTTCCTTGCCTTATGCCTTCTAATGAAAGAAAAGAAAGAAAGGAAGAAAGAAAGGAAGCAAACCTTTAAAGCCAGCAGCTATGGCTGGTTAATCAGTCATTAGAACCTCACACTCATTACTTTACCTGAACACACATTACTTTACCTGAGGAGCCAGGACAATATTAACCGCTATGAAAGCCTTCTCTAAATTGACAGATAACTCCCAAAGTTTTCTCTCTCCTGTCCAATCAACTCATATGACCTCTAGATCTGGAAATTGAGCTGCATTTGGAAGAACTGTCTTCTGGGTGTCCTGTAGAGATGTCTTGTAGACATCTCAAGCTTGGTGTGTCAAAATACTAAATTCATTAAATACCAAATTCATTACCCTCCTCCCACTCCACTTCTGTTTCCTCCTGGATACATTTTATGAATGGATGAGTACACCATCCATGACATCATCCTAGCCAGAAATTTAGGTTTTTGTCTCAGATACTAACTTTTCTCACTTTGGATTGCTTAAATTCCCCGAAGCACCTAGTTTTCATTTTACTTCTTAAATCCTTCCCTAGTCCCTCCTGTCCTCTTCATCTCCACTATACCAGCTCCTCTCAATCCTTCATCAACTCTTCCATGCAGTTGTGTGATGGGTTCCATGCTTTTAGCTGGTTCTATGCTCTTAGCCGCCTTCATTTCCTTCT